TTCAAAATGTTTTCTTTTGTTGAAATTAAAAAAAATGAAGGAAAAAAGATTATACGATTAGTTAAAACTTGTGACATAAAATATAAAAATACTAAAAGATGTTACGTTAAACTACTAAGTAAAGTAAAAAAGTCCGCTGACCAAATTTCTTGCAAACTTCTTTGCAGTTCAGGTAAGAGAGATATTAATTTATTATTTATATATGTAATAATAGATCTTATATAGTTTGTACATGTTAATGCTTCATTATAATGTTTGACATTATTTATAATTATAGGTTATATTTTTCATTATATTTAAGATACATAAATGCATTGAAAAATTTTAATTATTTTTAGACGAAAAGCAATTATTGATAGATATACAACAAAATCTAATGGCAGAGTCACCAAAGATTTTGTTAAAAAGAGAAAGGATACAACTGAAGAAAATGAAAAATCATCTATAACCTCGGGTATGTATACTGATTTTAACTTTGTGGGTCCTCTAAGATAGTAATTAGACATTAAGCTAACTAGATTTACTTTTATCTTGTAAAAAATTAAAATAAATGTTAATGTTATTACTAATTTATTCTCAAATATTGTAAAATAATATAAAATGATAAAAAATATGGAATTGTTAATTATGCTTAATAAAATATTATATTATAGGAAAATGTAATATTACACCTAATTTGCCACATCAGAATTCTACTTCAGAAAATATTGTGGCTACACCTATAAAGTATTACACTGATAGTAATATTGACAATACGGGTAGTAACATCAAATTGAATTCTAATCGAGGTAAGAGAGTATAAGAAGGATTTTAATTATAATAATGAAAGCTTATTAGAAGGAATGTTTTTTTGCAAATGATATAACATAGCAAGAAATTTCAAATTGCGTTTAATAAAATATAAATATATGTACATTGCAGATAAAAACACTCCAACTTATATTAATAAAACCGAACAAAACAAACAGACTACTCCTAAAATAATTAAAAATGAATTATGCAATGCCAAGATTACTGTTTTGCGAAGTAATGTGCAAAATAATTTATTGAACAATCACTTGCAGAATACATTTTCTTTAGAAAAAAGTGATAGTTTTTCTATAACAAATTCGCCATTGAAAGAGTTTATTTTATTAAATTCATTGACAGCAATATCAACGTCATCTGAGACATTAGTCACAAATGATATTTCAGTTGTAGCAGGTAAGAATAATAAATCTTATTGTAAAAGTTAATAACAGACGTTTCTGAAATTGGAGAAAAAGAATATATTAATGTTGCTTTCATTTTATTATAAAAAATTTTTATTCCACACAAATATATACTAGAATAAACATAAGAGTGCATTTTATTTTTATAACATTATATAATATTAATACTTATATAGAATAATTTTTATAAAACTATAGAGATCTTATCTACATTTTGTAAATATTTCTATATATGTTATTAGTAAATATTACTTAATTAAGAAATGCTTTCCATTTATGATACAAGTTTATACAATGTCGTTTTATTTTTGTTCCTTATTAAATGCTAAGAAGAATAGAATAATGTTTGTATACATTTAATCAGAATTAATATAAAAATTACTTTTTCTTTTCTGATAAATATACAATTTCATCTTAAAGAAGAGAATAAAATACAGGGTGCCCCGTAATAA